AAGTAATATCATTCATTCTGTGTAACAGAAATTGGTTCCATTCCTTATAATTCTGCCTATGTCCCATTTGCTCTAAACCATAACATCAAAGCATCTTATTTTTTATTGAAGATTTATATATTTATTTGAAAGGCATAGTTACAGAGAGGCAGAGGCAGAGGCGAGAGAGGAGAGAGAGAGAGTGAAATTCTTCCATCCATTGGTTCACTCCCCAAATGGCCACAAAGGCCAGAACTGAGCTGATCTGAAGCCAGGAGCCAGGAGCTTCTTCCGGGTCTCCCACGCAGGTGCAGGGGCCCAAACATCTGGGCCATCTTCTACTGCTTTCCTGGGCCACAGCAGAGAGCTGGATCAAAAGTAGAGCAGCCAGGACTCGAACCAGCGCCCATATGGATGCTGGCACTGCAGGTGGCTGCTTTATCTGCTATGCCACAGTGCTAGCCCCCACATCAGAGCATCTTAAACAGAGCCCTTAAAGAAATTGTTAGAGGCCAGTGCTGTGGCATAGTAGGTAAAGTGGTGCCAGTATCCCGTATGGGTGCCAGTTTGAGTCCTGGCTACTCTACTTCTGATCCAGTTCCCTGATCATGCGCCTGGGAAAGAGAAGATGGCCCAAGTCCTTGAGTCCCTGCATCCACGTAGAAGACCCAGAAGAAGCTCCTGGCTTTGGATCCACCCAGCTCCAGTCGTTGCAGCCATTTGGGGAGTGAACCAGTTAATAGAAGGTCTCTGTCTCCCCTTCTCTCTCTCTCCTCCTCTTTCTCTCTACCTCTGCCTTTCAAATAATAAACAAATAAATACTTAAAAAATTGTTAAACCACATAAAAGACCCATCTTGTTCTGAATATAGGAGATATAGCAAAAGTGAGTCAGGGAATCAGTAATATATAGCATTTCTTGGTTGAATCTATTTGCTTGGGTGTACATTCATTCTTGCATAGAAACAAAGGAGCTGCCTTACTTCTGTGTGTTTTTAGATGCATTATCATAGAAATTGGCCTACCTACTTTTCCACAAGTCTGTGTTTCATGTTTCCTTCTCTGCTGTCATTCATCCAGTCTTTTTTTTTTTTTTTTTAAGATTTATTTATTTATTATTTGAAAGGCAGAGTTGCAGAGAGAGAGAGAGAGGTCTTCCATCTGCTGGTTCACTCCTCAGTTGGCCGCAATGGCTGGAGGTGTGCCGATCTGAAGCCAGGAGCCAGGAGTTTCTTCTGGGTCTCCTACATGGGTGCAGGGCCCCAAGGACTAGGGCCATCTTCTGCTGCTTTCCCAGGCCATAGCAGAGAGCTGGATCAGAAGTGGAGCAGCCGGGTCTCGAACAAATGTCCATTGTGGGATGCCGGCACTATAGGCAGCGGCTTTACCCACTACGCCACAGTGCCAGTCCCTTCATCCACTCAGTCTTAACAGTTATCTTGCATTTGCCTTTATAATGCCTTTGTAATAAATATATCTAGCTAGAGTAACATGATTTTTTCAAGTTTTTTTAATTTATTTGAAAGGCAGAGTTACAGAGACAGAGAGAGATCTTCCATCTACTGGTTCACTTCCCAAATAGCTACACCAGCAGAGGCTGGGCTAGGTCCAAGCCAGGAGCTTCATTTGGGTTTCTCACTTGGGTGGCAGGGGCCCACGTTCTCAGACCATCTTCTGCTACTTTTCCAGGGAGATTAGCAGGGAGCTGGATTGGGAAAGGAGCAGCTGGGAAAACCGGTCAGTGCCCATATGGGTTGCTGACATTGCAGGAGGTGGCTTCACTCAGTGTGCCACAATGCCAGCTCCTAGAGTATCATGATTATGGACAAATTTATATTTTTTCCCTCTTTGGAATAATTATTAAAATAGGCAAATATGGATTTATTTGTAGGCTGTATATTGTTTTCTTTCAGCAAACATATAGATTGGTATATTGAAGCATGCTTGTATCACTCTTTCCATCCAGAGGCAAACCAACACCTACTTGGCAAGCTTTGCAGAAGTTCTGTATGGAATTACTGAGCCAGGATTAACTGTGGAGATGTGCAGTGTTACTGCATTCTGCCAGTGGTCCTGACGTCCCAAATACATGCTGTGCTTGTCTTTGGTTGTACATTTAGGTCCTTCTTTAATCTTTTAATTAAATATATGAAAAGCCTCATTTTGCCACTTTTATATCTCATTAAAAGCTCATTTAATATGTCCTTACTTACCCTGCTTAATTTCTGGAATTTCAGTTTCCCCACTGTAACATGTGGGTGTTGGACTGTAAGGGTCCTTAAAGTTTTATCTGTTGGCTGCACACATACTCTGGTGCTGTGCTTATGAACGATGAAGACAAAACAGGAAAAAGGAAGGCTCTGGATTATCAGTTTGTGAACAGTTCAGACTGTTAGTTACCAACTCCCTTTCAGTGGCTACATACTAAAAAATAAATAAATTGGGGCCAGTGCTGGGTGCAGCAGGTTAAAGCCCTGGCCTGAAGTGCTGGCATCCCATATGGGTGCTGATTCGAGACCCGGCTGCTCCTCTTCTGATCCAGCTCTCTGCTATGGCCTGGGAAAGCAGTAGAAGATGGTCCAAGTCCTTGGGCCCCTGCACCCGCGTGGGAGACCCGGCGTGGGAGACCCGGATGAAGCTCCTGGCTCCTGATAGGCGCAGCTCTGGCCGTTGGCGGCCATCTGGGGATTGAACCATCTCTCTCTGTCTCTACCTCTCTAACTATGTCTTTCAAATAAATAAAACAAATCTTAAAAAAAAAAAAAATTATTTGAAAGGCAAGTTACAGGGGTGAGGGGACAGTAAAAGAGATCTTCCATCTATTTCATTCCCCAACTGCCCACAACACCTTGGACTGAGCCAGGTTGAAGTCAGGAGACAAAACTCAGTCTGGGTCTCCCAGGTGCGTGGCAGGCACCCAAGTACTTGAACCATTGTCTGCTGCCTCTCAGGGTGCACATTAGCAGGGAGCTGGATTGGAAGTGGAGGAACAAAGACCCCAACCAGGCTGTCTGCTATGAGATACAGATGTCCCAAGAGGTGAGTTAACTGCCGTACCAAAATGCCTGCCCCAGTGACTGCATCTTTTTCTGGTTCTTTCATGGGATTAAGGTGGTAGCAGTTATCTGGGTAAATGTAACATAATTTTGTGAACTTCCATTTATAAAGAATAATTTTGATTGGACTGGAGTATCTGTAGTGTTGCCTGTTGAATACAGGTTGAGCATCCCTATGATATTCCAAAATGATCTTTAATTTGAAAGTTTTCAGAAAGTATTAGAAGTGCTTGACTGGTACCATGTGTACAGACACTTCAAAATCTAAAAAACTAAAACCAGAAACATTTCTGGTCTCAAACATCCTACAAAGGGGATATTCAGCCTGTATTCTATGGGCCTACCAGGTATTTGACTATTTGATTCTAGCCTTAATACAGAGACTGAATTTAGGTATGAATGTTGCTAATCTCACTTCTTGTTGCAGACAAAACTTACCTGGGGCCCCTATTTATGGTTTTACATGCTTCGGGCTGCCACATCAACTCTCTCAGGTACTGCTTTTCTGTTTGAATAGTGTATAATTGTCATAATATGATCCAAGATCCGGGGCTTTGCCAAATGGGATGTTTCCAGATGGAAGGACAAGCAGTAGGGATCTAATCACTCGAACCTACACAGCTAGCCAGCTAGCATTAGAAGATATTAATCTAACATTCTTGCAGTTCACCTTAAAACATTCAACTTCCCATTATATTAAAAAAACATAGAAAAATGCCTATATTTATTTAGATGATTTTCATGTTCTTGAGCTCTTCAACAAGTGTTTTGCTACTTTGTCATTTAAGTTCCTGGTGGTATTGTTCTGTCTCATTGCTTATTCTAAAGTGTATAAAGTTCATTTATATTTTTCTTTCATTAACATTTCTTAAATTGATATAACTGTCTTATATGAAGAAAATGAATTATCAACTTATGACTTAATTAAATTTAAATATAGCTTCTAAGTCATAAAGCTTTCCTCTGCTGTTTTAAATCTTTCACAGCTTGTAGCACTTTCTGCTTTTATTGGGGGTAATCGTGAATAGTAAGTGGTGGAACAGTTACCCAACACTCACTGTATTCAGGAGTCACATATAATAGAAACAGCTTGAGCCATTTTGGATCTGTTTCTTTAGTTTGAGCAACCTTTGAAAAAACATAACTTTTCACAGTGCCTGACACATAGCAGGCATTCAGTGAGTGTTGTAATTACAAGCCATTCCTCTCATGCCATTTTTTGTGAAGACATTTAACAGATAATTATAATACCTGGTGATATGTTATAATAGAAATATGAACACGCTGTTGGGAGCTCAGAGGGAGCTACTCATACCTCTTGGAGAATCAGGGAAGATATACAGAAGACAGAAACAAGGGGACTTCAAAAAGTTCATGGAAAAATGGAATTAAATTAAGTTTATTTTGGTGCAGATTTTTAAAAAAATTCATGTTTTTTCATAATATGCATTCTCCACAAACTTTTTGAAGTACCTGTATGTACTGGGTTTTTATAATCCTTTTATTTTTTTAAATTTTTTGACAGGCAGAGTAGATAGTGAGAGAGAGAGACAGAGAGAAAGGTCTTCCTTTTGCCGTTGGTTCACCCTCCAATGGCTGCCGCGGCCGGCGCGCTGTGGCCAGCGCACCGCGCTGATCCGATGGCAGGAGCCAGGTGCTTCTCCTGGTCTCCCATGGGGTGCAGGGCCCAAGCACCTGGGCCATCCTCCACTGCACTCCCTGGCCACAGCAGAGAGCTGGCCTGGAAGAGGCGCAACCGGGACAGAATCCGGCGCCCCGACCGGGACTAGAACCCAGTGTGCCGGCGCCACAAGGCGGAGGATTAGCCTAGTGAGCCGCGGTGCCTGCTCGGTTTTTATAATCTTGAGAACAGGAATAGTCACTGCTTCTACAGTGTCTTACACATAGAAAGTACTCAAGAAATGCTTATGGAATTGTCTAAGTCTTATCGCTTTTGTATCTTTAGTGTGTGACTTTCTTGGAGAGAAGATTGCATCTGTCTTGGGCATCAGCACTCCAAAATACCAGTATGCCATTGATGAGTATTACCGGATGAAGAAGGAGGTATGTCTCCTTTTTAGATTTTCTTGATTCAGTTCTGTTTTCTGTAGACATGATGGGCTTACATAATGAGCATATATATTCTTTAGTTGTGCAAGAGTAATTCCCTTAAATTCTTTAAAGAATTTATCTTTTAGGATTTTTAAATTGGATCTGTGTATAAAACTAAACTGGATTTCATTATGCTAGAGCTATGTGAGGTGCCTAATATACATTATTTAATTTTCAAAAGTCTCTTTTTAAAAATTATTATTCTAGTTTTTAGATAAGGATTCAAGGCCCAATCTGTATTTATAGCACATAAACTGGATGTTGGAGAAGTGGAGTGAGCTTGACACATAAGAACTTATTAAGTCCTAGAAATGTATATGTGCCAGTTAAGGCACAAAGCTAACAGTGCCGTTCTGAGTAGTGAGGTCTTAAGGTGGAGATGAAATGAGTTTAGTCTTAAAGAATGAGAACACTTAAAAGCATGGGCTGAAGAACCAAAGGACCTGAATTCACAATCTGACTTTGGCACTTCTAGCTTTGTAACTATCGTTCAGGTATTGAATCTCTCTGTTTCCTCATTTTTATGGGAAGTGTAACATCTATGCTTGGGGTGCTCTAAGGGTTAAATGAAGTATTGTGTGTAAAACAGAACAGCACCTAGTATATATTAGCAAGCACACAATAGATATAAGGATCTGTTGCTATCCTTCAGGCAAATTGAGGGCAGCAATTCAGGTAGAACTGGAATGCAGAGGTGTGTGTTTGGGGAAATGGCAAGAATAGTGATTTGTCACTGGAGCATAGGGTTCAACAGGAGTGCCTGGAGATGAGTCTGGAAATGTCAGCCAACTTTGTTGTGTGGTTTCAAATGTTTTATGAATAATTAAGAATTGCTAATACTATAAGCCTTGGTTAGAGCCTCATTACTTCATCTGGACTATTGTAATAACTTCCTAAATGGTTTCTTGTTGATTCTCAAGCAAATCTGAGATTCATCTTCCTAGGTACTACCTGTACTGAGAGATGCAACACAAATGCCAGCTTCTCCATTAGTTTAGTCATTCTAGAAGTTATTTGTTCTTACTAAATCTTTATGGTGCTTATTTCTTTGTCTTAATGTTGCTTTTACATCTTAACTTCTCTACTAGATTTTTTTAAAGATTTTATTTATTTATTTGAGAGGTAGAGCTACAGTGAAAGGGAGAGACAGAGAGAAAGGTCTGCCTTCCATTGGTTCACTCCCCAAATGGCTGCAATGGCCGGAGCTGCACTGATCTGGAGCCAGGAGCGAGGAGCTTCTTCCTGGTCTCCCATGTAAGTGCAGGGCCCAAGCAGTTGGGCCATCTTCTACTGCTTTTCCAGGCCATAGCAGAGAGCTGGATGGGAAGAGGAACAACCAGGACTAGAACTGGCAACCATATGGGATGCCAGCACCGCAGGTAGAGGATTTACCTACTGTGCCATGGTGCCAGCCCCATCTACTAGATTTTTTTTTAAAAGATTTCTTTATTTATTTGATTTTTTTTTTTTTTAAACAGGCAGAGTGGACAGTGAGAGAGAGAGACAGAGAGAAAGGTCTTCCTTTGCTGTTGGTTCACCCTCCAATGACCGCCGCGGGCAGCATGCTGCGGCCGGCACACCGCGCTGATCCAAAGGCAGGAGCCAGGTGATTCTCCTGGTCTCCCATGGGGTGCAGGGCCCAAGCACCTGGGCCATCCTCCACTGCACTCTCTGGCCACAGCAGAGAGCTGGCCTGGAAGAGGGGCAACCGGGACAGAATCCGGCGCCCTGACCGGGACTAGAACCTGGTGTGCCATTGCCGCTAGGCGGAGGATTAGTCTATTGAGCCTCAGCACTGGCTTCTTTATTTATTTGAAAGTCAGAGTTACAGAGAGGCAGAGTGAGAGAGAGAGAGAGAGGCTTCCATCTGCTGATTCACTCCCCAATTGGCTGCAATGGCTGGAGCTGCACCAGTCCAAATCCAGGAACCAGGAGCTTCTTCTGGGTCTCCCTCTTGGGTGCAGGGGCCCAAGGACTTGGGCCATTTTCTACTGCTTTCCCAGGCCATATCAGAGAGCTGGATTGGAAGTGGAACAGCCAGGTCTTGAACTGGCACACATATGGGATGCCGGCACTGTGGGTGGCGGGTTTACCCACTACGCCACAGTGCTGGCCCCCCTACTAGACTGTAAACTCCTTGAGGACTGGGACTGCCTTATCTGTTAGGTACTTATGGAAAAACCAACCATGCTTGTATCATTATTGAGTAACCAACCTATTCAACTGAACATGCTGACACTCCATAAATTGAAATGATATATAATGTTTTTCTTTAAATAAGACTTAATTTTTAAAAAATAAAGTCCTGTTAATATCAGGTTTCATCAAAGCTAAGTGCTGCTGGACCATGTTTTTAAATAACTTAGCTTTCTTTGTTTCATAATATTTTATTTTGGGAACAGGGGTGTGTCTTAATTAGACCAAACTGAATTGAACAGGATAGTTTTGGTAAAAAAAAAAAAAAAGAGAGAGGGAGAAACTGACAAAGGGAGAAGAAACTGTGATATTGAAATTTCAACTATTATTGCTATTTCCTCTTTTTAAAAGGAAGAAGAAGAAGAAGAAGAAAATAAGATGTCTGAAGAAGCAGAAAGACAATACCAACAAAATAAACTGCAGGCTGACCCCATTATTCAGACAGATCAACCAGAAACAGCGGTATCCAGTTCATTTGTGAACCTCAATTTTGAAATGGAGGAAGACTGTGAAATAATTACAGAAAGAAAACAAAATCCAGTTTCTGTCCCACCATAGAATGAAATGACCATCACACTTTAAGCCCTGAGGTTTTGTGTGTGTGCGTGTGTGTTTTTTTAAATATATATCAGGAGCCTTCACATTCTCTATTCAGTGGGACTTAATACAATTATTTATATTTTGAATTATCTGAAAAGAAAAAATGTTTCATCATTCTTAGGCTTTATCAAGCAAAAATCACATCTGAAATCAGGATATTTGTACTATACTTTTACCATGTGTTGAATTAGTGCTTTGGTTTTTAAATGATCTATAAAAAAATGCTAAGGATGTTCTAGAGCCCTAATCTCTAATTAAGAAGAGTAGTTATCAAGCCTGTCTGTTACTTGTGCACTTTAAAATAATGAAAGAAAAGGTAAATGGGCAGATGAAGGCCAGTTAAAGGTGAGAATATTGCAGTCTCAGATTAAAATGAGGATTTCCCTCCTAGATTTTATCATGTTATGCTTTGTGTTTCTGTATCTGTTAATTCTGCTCTAAGGATGGCTCATTGAGTGTGTAATAAAAGGAGTAAGATGGAAGCACTTTGAATTTTCTTTCACTGAGAATAACTATTTTATGGAAAAGTATTTTGAGTTTGATTTTCCATTTTTAAATGCAAGTTACTTAATCTTATATTATTTTTCAATAGTATTCAAATTAAATAACTAGCTTTGACTATGTTTTAAAAAACACTAGTTATGGAATGGATTTATTAATGTATTTGTATTCGGGTCATAATACCTAGTGATTATGCTCATGGTTATCTTCTTTGTATCACTCATTCAGCCCTTAATGCCTCCTGTAGGAAAAGTGGTTGGGAGGAGACTGGGGGTCAGATGTAGACTTAACCCATTAGGAGATGTTAAATACTGTACAAAGTGCAACAGCAGCATGATGAAGCCAGTTACCTGTCATTCACTTTTCTGAAGTAGCAACAGTAAGGTGGAGAATTTACTAGAACCAGATTGGTCATTTTTCTACCTATTGGGTTATTTGTAAACTTTACAAAGTTATACGACATGAAGCTAAATTTGAAAATACTACTAGGTATGTGTGTAGAACCTTACAAGGAGTCTTAGACTTTGGTTTGTAACTAAATGTATGAAAGGAAGAATGTGTGAAATATTTGAGAATTGTTGATCTTAAAAGTCCTTTCACAAACTTGAGCTTATAGACATTAATGGTTTTGTTAGTAGCTTTCTAAACAACTTTAAGCTTTTAATCTTAAATATACCTATAAGATATATAAAATATGGCTTCAAACTCTCAGTACAGGTACAGTGCACCTATTATGGAAATCTGTTGTCAGTGAACTTGAATTGAAACTTAGGTGAAGAACTTCCAAGTTCATTGGCTAAAGTTTGAAGAATTTAGGAAGGATAATTAAACTCTTCAATAGGAATCTCCAGTTACATGAACTCATGGTATGACTGTTCACGGTGTGATAGTGTAATCTTTCTATTCACGGGTATAAATTATATAATTTAATGATAAAAGGATAAAACTTCAGATGACACCATGTAGTTTATCAGTAGCTCTAAAACATGCTAACCTGACTTTTTTTTTCCCTCCAGTGTTTTTTTAACTTCATTTCATATAGTACCTCCAACTTATATTTATTTGGTTATCAAGGACAAGCAAGTATGTCTGAAGATGATCTTCTAATTCTCACCCAGAGTTGGCCTAGAAACCTTGATTGTAGAAGTAGAACATAGTGACTTAGAGAAGGTTTTATGTTTCTTGACTTTTACTTTCACTACTAGTCTAACAGCAGCCAGTCTGTAAGGTTTATAGTTATTCACTGTGCCTTAAACTTTTATACTTTTTTGTTTATGCAAACTATAATATTTCCCATAAATACATTAAATGGTTTGTCTTATTTTAAGCCTCTTTCATTTTTTCCTACTTCCTTTTCAACTCTTTTTAAGAATTATTTCCTGAATCATAATATTCTACTGTCTTCTACTCTTTCATCTCATAAAAACCAGTGTAAATGAAGAGCCTAAATACTGAATTGACATAAATTTTCTACCAAAATTCCTTAACAAAACAGAGTTAAGTTTTGCAAAATGGAGCCCTGGTACTGGTTAATAAAGCCAGACAAAAATTTTATACCAAAGGTTTTAATGAAAGTAAAATATGAGAACCCAGAAATAAAATATTTCTACTCTAATGAATGGCAAAGTCTACAATTTTCAATATCCATACTGCCTTAGAAGACTGAAGGCTGACTGACCATGTTAATTTCAACTATCCCTTCAATGTTCAAATTCTGAATGACTGATGGCAGAAATATTCCACAAAAACTTCATCTCTAAAGATTATACAGATTTAAACTGAGCCCACAGCATATCACACTTGTCATATTTGAGTTAAATGGCACCAGAACTTACCACTTCTTATAAAGCAGTATTTTATCCTATTGCTTCCAAACTTCTGCAACCAAAATTCTAGGAACCCAAACATGTGCTGTGTTCTAAAGGCATCTGAAGTCTTTTATTTAAACCATTTCACAGGATTGGCTTCAGAGGATTCACATGCAGCATTCAAGTGTATCTGGAGGAGGACAGTCCAGGCCTTCCGAGGTCATGTGTCATCAAGGTCTGCAGAGTTTTCACTGTCATTTGCAACAAGAGCTTCTCTGTTTTCATAAGTCCAGAAACCATTCAGATCTATTAGAATGGTGGTGACCGTGTCTCCTTGGTTACTGTTGATTAAATCCTGAAGAGAGATTTTCAAAGGATCCTTTGGTTTTACCATGTCAAAGATTTCATCCTGCAAGAGAAAAAAATGTGTCATGGAATGAGTCATTTATCATCTATCACACAATGACCTAAAATTCAGTTACCCATGAACTCACATAACATTTTTTTTCTACTTTTTTTCCCTTTTCCATTTAACAGGCAAACAGGCAAATTCCTTTTCTCTGTGTAAGTCACAGAATTTTACTGGAGATAATTTAGCTATTTGATATTTATCCTTCATTCTATCGATGAAGAAAAAGGCCCTGAGTTTAATCCAAGCTACATAGCTAATTAGTGGCAGAATTATCTATGGTGAAATATAGATATAACCCTATTCACTGTACTTTCCTGTTGCCTTCTAATAGGTGGTAAAGTGAGGTCTACACTTAATTTTTTTTTTTTTTTTTTTTGACAGGCAGAGTGGACAGTGAGAGAGAGACAGAGAGAAAGGTCTTCCTTTGCCGTTGGTTCACCCTCCAATGGCCGGCGTGGCCGGCGCGCTGCGGCCGGCGCACCGTGCTGATCCGATGGCAGGAGCCAGGTACTTATCCTGGTCTCCCATGTGGGTGCAGGGCCCAAGCACTTGGGCCATCCTCCACTGCACTCCCTGGCCACAGCAGACAGCTGGTCTGGAAGAGATGCCACTGGGACAGAATCTGTTGCCCCGACCAGGACTAGAACCCGGTGTGCTGGCGCCGCAAGGTGGAGGATTAGCCTAGTGAGCCGCGGCGCTGGCCTTAATTTTTTTTATCATCAAATTGTCAACTTTATTTTAATTTGAAAGGTAGAGAGTCTTTCAAATATATGTTAGCTCACTCCCCAAATATCTGCAATAACTGGGTCTAGACCAGCTGGAAGTCAGGAGCCCAGAACTCAATCCAAGTCTTCCATGTGGGTGGCAGGGATCCAAGTACTTGAATCCATTACCTGCTACTTCCCAGTGTGCATATTAGCAGGCAGCTAGAACTGGAAGGAGAACCCAGGCAGTCTGATATGGGATGTGGGTGTCCAAAGCAATGTCTGAACAACTGTACCAAATGCCCATATCAAGGCCTAAAATGTTTTGAAAAATAAAAACTCATCAGTTGAAATAAAAATTTAGGGACTGGCACTGTTGTGCAGCAGGTAAAACTGCTGTCTGCAGTGCTGCCATCCCATATGGGCACTGGTTTGAGTCCTGGCTGCTCCAATTCTTATCCAGTTCCCTGCTGATGCACCTGGGAAAGCAGCTGAAGATGGCACAGGTGCTTGGACTCCTGCATTCATATGGGAGACCTGGAAGAAACTCTTGGCTCCTGGCTTTGCCCAGGCTCCACCTCTCCCTTTCTCTGTAACTCTGCCTTTCAAATAAATAAATATTTATAAAAAATAATTTTAATGCTTCAGATAGAGTGATAAAACTTCATTCCCGGGGCCAGCGCCGTGGCACAGTAGGTTAATCCTCCATCTGCGGAACTGGCATCCCATATGGGCGCCGGTTCTAGTCCCAGCTGCTGCTATTCCAATCCAGCTCTCTGCTGTGGCCTGGGATAGCAGTGGAGGATGGCCCAAGTGGTTGGGCCCCTGCACCCGTGTGTGAAATGGGGAAGAAGCACCTGGCTCCTGGCTTCAGATCAGCGCAGCTCCAGCCATTGCGGCCATCTGGGGAGTGAACCAACGGAAGGAAGACCTTTCTTTCTGTCTGTTCCTCTCATTGTCTGTAACTCTACCTCTCAAAAACAAACAAACAAACAAACAAACAAAAACCTCATTCCCAAAACTGATGCTAACTTTTTACTCTAAGCCTAGGACTTGAGGAACAAATTTGGTATTAAAGAATTAGTCATCCAGAATGACTAAACTACTAAAACTTGCTGGAATAGATAAAAAGAACTTCTATATATATATATTTTTTAAAGATTTATTTTATTTATTTGAAAGACAGAGTTAGAGAGAGAGGTAGAGACAGAGAGAGAGGTCTTTCATCCACTGGTTCACTCCCCAATTGGCTGCAACGGCCGGAGCTGCACTGATCCGAAGCCAGGAGCCATGAGCTTCTTCTGGGTCTCCCATGTGGGTGCAGAGGCCCAAGGACTTGGGCCATCCTCTACTGCTTTCTCAGATCACAGCAGAGAGCTGGATTGGACGAGGAGTACCCGGGACTAGAACAGGCACCCATACAGGATGCTGGTGCTTCAGGCCACGGCTTTAACCCACTGCACCACAGCACCAGCCCCAAGAACTTCTATATTATGAAGTATAAAATAAGAGTATTTTCAAGGAGTTAGCACTTTTTCTAATACTTTTATATTAAAATTATTCAAGAATGTAAGTGCATTTACATTTTTAAAAAGGAATGGTTTAGGTAATGAAATGTATAAACTATTACTCTTGTTATGTTTATGAAATTTCCTTTTCTAGACTGCTTACAGCTTGAAACTGCTGGTTCTTTTTTTTTTTTTTTTTTTGACAGGCAGAGTTAGACAGTGAGAGAGAGCGAGACAGACAGAAAGGTCTTCCTTCCATTGGTTCACCCCCAAATGGCTGTCATGGCTGACTCCTGGTCTCCCATGCAGTTGCAGGGCCCAAGCACTTGGGCCATCCTCCACTGCACTCCCTGGCCACAGCAGAGAGCTGGCCTGGAAGAGGAGCAACCGGGACAGAATCCGGCGCCCCGACCAGGACTAGAACCCGGTGTGCCGGCGCCGCAAGGCGGAGGATTAGCCTAGTGAGCCGCGGCGCTGGCCGAAACTTTTGGTTCTGAAATTACAATGTTTCAAATCTGACTTACTTATATTAGACCAAAATAGCTTTGTATCTTATACTTGGTTAAAATGGCTAGACCATTTTTTAAAAAGACTTACTTATTTGAAAGGTAGAGTTATGGGAGTAGGGGACTGGAGGAGCTAAGACAGACAGACGGACAAACACACAGATTGATTGATTGATTCTGATACTGCATTCCCCAAATGGTGGCAACAGTTGGGGCTGGGCCAAGATCAGGCTCAGGCCAAAGGCAGAATCCAGGAGCTCCATCCCGGTCTCCCAAGTGGGTGGCAGACACCCAAGTACATGGGCCATCGTCTGCTTCCTTCCCACATGCATTAGCAAGGAGCAGGGTTGGAAGTGGAGCAGCCAGGACTCCAGCCAGTGCTCATATGGGATGCTGGTGCCACAGGTGCCAGCCTAATCTGCTGTGCCACAATGAAGGCCCTGGCTAAGGGCATTTTATTAATATGTTACTCAACTTGAATCAAATGGGTAGTGGATACTGAATGTTTTTTCATAGCTGGTGCATGATTACTAACATGTTAAGTACTAGCAGCACGTGTTTCAAATTGTAGGAGTGATGTCTCCTTAGATCTAACATCAAAGCAAAGCAGGCAGGCTCTTTGAGGTGGCATACTAAAAAACTGCCTGATCCTAAAACAGTTCCCAAGTTAAAAATTCAGTTCATAATGGGATAGAGTGCCAAAGGGTGCATGTTATATGGCTTTTCTTAGTTTAGTTTTCAGTTAAAATGAATGAATACTTCTGCTATGGTCTTAATATGGTTTGTCCCCTAAGAGTTCATGTGCTGGAGGCATTGCCCTTAGAAGGGATTAATGCCAGTTTCTCAGTATGAGTTAGTTCTAGAGAAAGCAAGTTGTTATGAAGTGAGGCCAACCCAGACACGTTGGCTCCATCTGCACATGTTCTGTTTCCATTTTTCTGCCATGTTGTGCCCTAGTTAAGGGGGCCCTCACCAGAGGCCACCTGGACTTTATTTTAGCCTCTAAAACTGCGAGTTAAATACAATTCTCTTCTTTATGAAGTACTCAGCTTCAGGTATTTTGTTATAGCAATAGAAAGCAAGAATAAAAGACTAACAATGCTAAAATTATAGACTTCATAAGTCAATCACTAGCCCACTGTGGTCTGTCTCTAATGATTAAAGTATCAATCCAGAATAAATAACAAGTAACTAATTTAGTATAGTATTTCATAGTTCCTAAGTTGCGTTCATATAAAATTTCATGTAATACAAATGATTAAACTAGTCATTATGATAATATTATCTGGTAACATGAACTAAAGGAAAAAGTAACCTTGACATCTTGAAATGAGACAGGATCTTGTCCATGGATTTTCATGAGTTCTTGTATGGCCTGTATTTAGTGAA